TATATGCTTAAAGTTCTCATAGATTTCTTTTATTAGAACTCATAATTACAATTTTACTATTATTCTTCTTCACAACGAGGATCACATTGAATCTTAACATGCAAACGTATCATAGTTAACAATTGGGGCATACATCATTCGAGATTTCTTGCTAATCTTTTTGTTCTAGTGCTTTCTTATTGAAAGATAAGCACCATATTTATAATGTTTAAAGAAGTTGTAACATATTGTGACGTAAGTCACCATTTTGTTTAGGAGTTTGGCATTGGTACCTGTAACAGCCTGTTACATTTTTGTGTCTCCTACCAGGCTGTGACATTTTATCATGTTGCCTTATTATATGTATACATGATTAAAACCTAAAAATGTAACACCTCCACAAATAGTATTCTTTCTTTTAGCTTTTAATTAAAAAGTCCAATGAGCCATATCAACGATTTTGAAATCACTTTTAATTCAGAGGTCATTGTATTAGAATACCTTGTAGATCTCTATTGATCCTGTCTTGACATGCTGGAATGCCTGCTATGTCTACAGTTTAAGATATATATCAGTAAAATACAGAAAATATAATGACCAGAGGTCTCCAATTGATATCTGATTTTCAATGTTGTGGCAACTCTGTTTTCAAAAACATAAAATGCTAAAATCTAGATTTACATTGAATGGGATATGAACTATGGGGTATTTTGAGACAATATTTGGGAGAAGATTCTAGTTAGTGTACTATTATCTTTGTTAATTTAGGCTGTACTGATAATTTCCTGTAATAAACAATTAACAGTTTTGTGCAGTGTATACTGTTTCTGCCATGTTTAGTTATTCAGTTATTTCTGGACTGCTTCCAGAGAAAATCTTGATACCACACCCTCCTTTGAATAAAGTGTCTGACAGGCCTGTAACTCCAACAATAAGTTAAAATATGTTAAAACTATAATCTCTGAAAATTTCAGTGCAATCCATGAACAAATAAAAAGTTATGACATTATTATCTTTATTTCCTGAACACCCTGTATATATAGCAATGATGTAAAAAATGAGTTTTTCATCTTCCCACCAAAGGGCTATAGCGAAGCTGTATGTTCATCCATATTTCGTTCATTCATGCCTGTCCAGGCAATAACTCAAATATGGGTTGATGGATTTAGTTCTTTTATAGGCTGATTTCTTTTGGTGTCACATCATATATGTAGATTTGCAAAAATGAAATGAAACTAATACCTGATTATTTCTGTCATGTAATATTCACCATTCGAGTGATTTGATAAAATATGTTTCATTCAGTGGGATTCACTACTCCAAGGGGTTGCTGTTTTTTCTAGTTGAACCTATCTCAACCCAGAATAAACTAAATAAATAAACTCAAACTCTTTAAATTAGAAATAAATGAGATATTAGATAATAAAATGCAATATGATTCAATTATGACCGTGTATGACATTTTGATACATGGCAAAGTCATCATACCAATGTTAAAATCTAAATGAACAGTCTCTTAAAAGTTTCATTAACTCAGTATGTCAAGCTAAACCCAATAACATATGAACTTTATTATTTTGCACCAACTCAACTAGGATTATTGATTGCACCCAGATAATTGCAGAGGCAAGATGGGATTTATATATTTCAGACTTCAGAGTCACCGAAACATGTTCATATCCACTCTATCATGTAATAAATAGATGGATGTAACATCCTGGAGGATGGTTACCAATCCCAAATGGTGCATTTTGTCACATGATCAAATGAGAAGCTCTGATTGGTCGAAATGTGTAATTTAGCAGTAGATGGTGGGAATTATTACGTGTTGTTTATTCTGGAAAAAAGAATTGAACTGTGAAACAATTAATTAACCTAAAAAAGCATTGATGGTTCCTGGTTCATCTCGGTGTGTCTACTATGTAATGATATTTGGGTCAAACACACGCTGTACCTGGTAGCACTTTTTCAATATCAACAACTTGGATAAGACAACATCATGTAATCACACAGGGACTTTATTGAGATCCTTTATTAAATCACTTACTGAGGAATACATCCTTGTTAGAGCTAAAATTGACAAAGTTTGTGATATTCATTAATACATCAAGAACATTTTAATTATAGATACTCATAGTAATAGAAAGTTCCTTTATTGTTACTTCATAACATACATCAGACATAAAGATAAATGTTTTGTAATAATTATATCAGGTGAATGTATGCATTATGTCAGAGTGTTCTTTTATATGAGTGTCATTAATGTCATTGCCCTTTTTCTACTCATTGCACTTAATATCTAATGATTTAATTCTCATATAAGAAACAATACAAAGAGCAAGTCATTAGGACTGTTGTCTTGTCTTTTTATTTTAAGTGAAAATTGTACTGTTACAAGGATTCAAGGCAACTTTATGTATAATAGATAAGTTTCTGTGTATTGTATTGTATTTTGTTTACCACCAATGAAGGTGAGCAATACCTCTTGGGTATATCCCGTATAAGTTTTTTAATAGATGTCACTAGTGTTTTTGGTTGGGCTGGACAGCAGGTAATGGTATAATGTAGAGTTACTTAATTCTTCAAAATCAGAAGATTGTTTACAATGCATATTTTGGTTAAATTTCATCATGGTGGACTATCAGTTTCTTTTGCATTGCTAGTTTAAAAACAGAAAGATCAATGGGTATCAAAATGGTTAAAATTAAAGATTATAAAAGAGTCAATCAACCTTTTAACATTGCAGTGGTCTCCCCAGGATTTGATGGAGTGGTACTCTCCTCTACTGGTTTATTTCACATATTCTGTACCCATCCAGTGTTCAGTATATTAAGGGAATGGAAATTACACAAGCTAGAGAAAATGCAACATTTGATAACCCCTAATTAAAAAATCCTGGCAAAACCACTGGACTGTGCCAATGGGCATTTAACCCAACCCTTATCAGAAATGATACTTTTTCAATTAATTAATTAATTTCCAATACATGAAAAATACTCTCTCTTGCACTTTGAATGACTTCTATACTTTAAACATGAAATCCATATTACATATATTATGTTATTCACTGAAACAAAAACAACAACAAAATGATTTCTATGCTTGATCATAGTTCATACGCATGCTACATATTGGATTATTTGTTGATTGGATTATCTACCCTGAATCCCTGAATCTTCATTTGGTACTCTGACTATAATGAATCATTTCACAGTTTTGATATAGGTCTCAATGATCTCAAATGTAGCCTCTGCTGGCAATTTATTGAAGAATGAATGTAGAATGAATGAATGAATTAAAGTTGCTTAATCAGAGAGAGAATGCAGTGTTTTAACTACACATTCTGCCTGGATAAAGGCTTATTAGAATTGTCCCATGACTTGAAGAGATTAAACATTTGCTTTCTCTTGCATAGGGTATTAAGATTGCTTCAGCTGATAGTGTGCTTCCTGGTGCATTGTCATTACACTAACACAATTATACTCAAGAATGTCAGGGAACTTCTATAAATACTACCTGTTCCTGGTTTACTAAATGAATTATTCTGTTGATTATTAGTTTAATAAATTAGAAATAGATAAGACAGTAAAACCTCTAAAGCGAACACCTTTAAATGGGAACACTTCTTAATAGGAACACTTTTTTGGTACAAGGTCTGATTTGTCATATTGACTCCCATAGCAAACCTTTTAAGACGGACTATGTAGGTTCCACCATTCACATATGGAGTATTTATTCTTCTGCTAATGGTCTTTGTCTCAACTTTCATGCATCACATTTATCCCTTTCTCTTGTCATTTAATTGAGAGTTGGTTATAAATTGATTGATTTTACTCTTAATAGAGGCCCACGAGCCTTATTTTAGAAGTTCTTTCAATAATAGATATAAATTTTATAAAATTTAAAAATTATCTTTGGGAATTTTCAATGCTTATATATAGTGTACATATAGGTTAAACAATGCCTATGTTCATGTAAATCAGAAAAGTAGACCAAATGTGGTCATGATTGATATAGAATAAGATTGTACTTTTAGATGTGGATATATTTTTGATAGATAGCTTTTTTTGTTACATTGCTTGCTACTGACTCTTAATTTATAGAACTCAAAAAAGAGCTCTTGTGATAAATTATATTTCCATTTTAGCCTTTATGTTTAGATTTGGTACATGTACTTGTTCTACTTTTAGATGAGATATTTCAGCTGATAAATTTGCTATTAGTGGCAAACCTTGACTTAAAACCTTGAACTTTTTACATTGATCGATGTCATATTTTCTTGTGGTTGTAATTAAGGATTCATGATATATTTTGTTTCTTTGGATTTTCTTCTCCCTTGAGCTCTTTCTAGACAATAATTTAAGTCCAAATAAAATTAAAAAAATAGTTTCCTAATTAATTATTGAATTCAGTCTATTGTAAGAATGCTTGGTATGGTGAACCCTTTATTTTTTGCAATATTCTGTTTGTAGTGAATGAATACCATTGTAAAATTTAATTAAATGCTTGTTTAGTGTTCTGGTTGAATTCGGTATGAGACTCAGATATATAAAATTTATATTCTAAAGTATGTTATGTTAAAGCTATGCACTGTATGATCATTTTTAATAAAATTGCAAGATGAAACTAATTTTTGTTTTTAATAAGCATCAAACAGGATTATTCGTATGATAAGATTGAGTAATAGATCATGTGAAGTTTCATCCGGGTGATATCATCAAAGCATTTTGTGGTTTCAGTTGTTTATGCAAAACACTGCAATATAAAAGTCACCTTTACTATTTATTATTCCAAGTTCTCGTGACATCAGAATAAAATATTTTAGAATCTATTGATTGGGTAAGAATTAGTGGGGTATTTTGCAATGACGCGTCATGTGCTCTGAGCCAAATAACTGGACATGTTCTTCATAAGGATATGCATTAGTAAACATCAGGAGGATTTCACACCGACCTTTTGGAGACAGTCCAAAATCAATGTTAATAAAGATGAATTTAAGTGTTTTTACATTGCGTTTGCAGGTAATGCCAGATCAGTACGAAAACTTTGAGGAAGAGCAGGATATGTCAGATGAGACACCGCAAGAGGGGGTGCCTCCTCAAGAGAATGATGGGATGGATGGAGAGGAAGGAGGTGAATTCCTCAACCCAGACAACATCATTGAAACTATTGAACTTGATGAGAATGATGGAGATAGTGAAGGTGGGTAGAGTATAAATCAATATTGGTTTGAAAAATTCTGACATTACACTTAATATACCTTAAGAAACTTTCATTGCATGCATATTTTAAGTCTTTAAGAAGTGTTTATTTTCAAATTGTGTTGGTAAAGTTCTATATGCTTACCATATGCAACTTTTATTCCATAATTTATTTGAGAAAATAGCACCTTGCAATTTCGCATTTCTTGAATAAACATTTATTAGATGTCATAATTCTGTTCATTCAGTGCAAGTTGAATGTACGTTAATACAATATTTTAACTCATTGTTTGAACTAGTGACAGCACTACGTGTGTATGCATCATTTTATGACTAAAACACAACATATTATTTGGATGAGCCCGATCTTTTGATAGACAACAGCTTAACTAACAATAACATGAAACAGCTCATAAATTCTGAAAAGATGTATAAGTTAATTCATTAATATAAAAGTTGAGGGCAGCCATTAATATAGGCATTTGTGCAAATAAAACTCTAACCTTGTAAGAAATTGATTGAGTGTTCTGGACTACTTGTTAGCCAGATCAGTGCAAATGTTTTAGTTTAAAATGATAAGTCGGAATCCATATTGATTAATTACCTGTGGTAATAGTAACTGATCAAACTTGGCGTCACATTCAGCACACAAGTCTGGCTTTTATTTAAAGAATAATTTGTGTCATTTGTTGAAACATTTATCACTTAAAGGCTCTGTTCTTTCATTTGATTGTTTGTCCAGGTGATAACTCAAATACCAGTTATCAGATTTGCTTCAATATTTACCAGCTGATACATAATGTTGGCCTTGTACATTTGCTTGGGAAATTTTTTATTTGGCTGCTCAGTTCAAAATTGCTTCATTAACAATCTTTTCAATATAAAATGATTTAGATACTATTTGCTATAACATGATCTTTGTTGTTTAATTTAAGGAGTTATACAGAGGCAAAACGGCTCCATACAATAAAATATGACCAATGATATGACAAGTTTTAAGATTGAGGAGATGAGATATTATGAATATTGTGATATCACGAATAAGTTTTTTTAGTTTTACATACTGCACAAACGTTGAATGAATTTTAAAATTAACACTTTTGATGAATAAGTTTTTTTAGTTTTACATACTGCAGAAACATTAGATGAATTTTAAAAATTAATTCTACCCAGCAAATAGATTTTTAATGTTTTTTTTGTTGCATTTGGGTAATTAAATTCATCAAAATTATGTACAGTTTTATTTAAAGTAGTTATTAAAAGTGTGATATCACAAAATGTTATTTTTTTCTCAAAAAGTCGTGGAAAAGTTTTGAATATTTTATATATAAAAAGTGTGAAGCACAAGACATTGCCATTTGACAATTTGGATTTTGAATGTGGCAGCCACTTTTATTTGTATTTTAGCTTTTGCTATAACTGAAAACAATATTGAAGCAATTTTGTTTTATATGTGGATATATGTGTTTGGAAGCATGACACACTGCCTTATGGCAATTTGACCAATATATCTACTATTTTTGAAAAAAGCTGCCAGCTGTGTGTTATTTCACGTTTTTGTCTTAGCTGGACATAAATTGATACAAAACTTCAAAACAAAAATCCAAGACCTTCAGACTCTAGTAATCAATTGCATTCACTTCCAAGATGAGTATGTAGTTCAGGTCATACTACTCTCATCATAACATTGCATAAATGATGCAGCGTTATTCTAAGTGATCATCTCGGTACATATGATATATTTTAATCAATACATAACACGTATAAAGATCATAACGTCATTCATATCTGGATGTTTTATTTATGTTTCTATGATGGAGGAAAGGGAGTGATGACTCTTGGTAATAATGCATCTTACTAAATACACTTATTCATCTATACTGAGGTTGATTGTTGATTTTTTTAGAGATCTCTACACAAAAACTACACCGGGACCGGGATAATTACGCGCTGTATCCATCCCAGTTCCGCTCCTAAAGAACGAACTCAATTTACGCTTTATTAATTTACGAAATAAAGATTATCAAACTTATGCTGTATATTTTGAATTTGAACATCAATTCATTGATGTGCTCCAGCAATATATGAATGTGAAAGCTTTATGATTTATAATTAATGTAGTGAGAACCTCAGTAGGTATGGAATACATCTGTTATGTGCGGTTGGTTTTGGACACAGAGTTCATCTCTCGGTCCCTTTGGAGATACACATAACCTCCCATTACATAATCCTTATGATTGTATTCTTATTTGCATATTATAGTGAGATATTTGTATGATTTTACTTGTGCATTACAGGACATATATGAGTTGAGTCATGAGTTGTATGTGGTTGCAGATGCAGTGACTAATGATATGGGTGACATGGAGCTACAGGGTTATGGTGAAGGTGGGGAAGAAATGGACCTTAAAGATGATGCAGATATTGTTTTCACAAAGCACAAAGGTGAGCACGAGCAGGCCATTATGCAGAGAATCAATCATGAACTTGTTGTTGCTTATATTAATGCATGTAAATTACTCAGATGCGAGTAGGTAGTTACCAGTTTCGCCACCAGGTGGCTGATTCGGGGGAATTAACATGGCAGGGTATTACAAAATTCCCTTAAACTTGAATATGCATCAGTTTCAGTGGTTCACTTTTCATATTACCATTATGTATCTGATAGTTATACAAATTAAAATATGCCCAGTAAAAGAAAATATTATCTGCCCAACACAAGAAAAGATATTCTTTTTGTGGTTTTACAACATGGGGTCTATGGGGAATCTCCCCGACCTAGAAGTCACATTTTCAAAGAAAATTTAATTTTCAAAGTTGATAAACTCTTTTCAAAACCACATTTCCAAATGTAATTTTACATGAAGATTCCAAATATGACATCAGTTTGACTAAATTTTAATGACGTAAATCAAGATTATTTCTACTCGCATCTGGGATATTGTTATACTGTATAAATATAAGCTTAGCAACAACAGGCAAATATGCCTAACAGCTACAGTACCCAATGATGATGATGATGATGATTCCTGACTTCCTAATTATCCCATCGAACGAAGTTCGGAGGGATATAGGGAACGCCTCCGTCCGTCCGTCTGTCCGTCCGTCTGTCCGTCCGTCCGGGCAATAACTCAAATACCGTTTGCCCGATTTTGTTCATATTTTGTACACATATACCCTATGGGGGTAGAAGTTCTGCTCGAAAGCCGATTTTCAAAATGGCCGCTCAATTCAAAATGGCGGCCATTTTAGTGCCGATTTTACAGTAATTTAGGTGCAATATGTAAAACTGTAATAGCAATATGTTTTAAATGTAAAAAAATTATAAAGGACATTAATAATGCTACAAATCTAGATATTAAAGAAGCACATGGCAGCCATCTTGAAAAATGGCGGCCTTTAATCGTCATTTTACGATTTTTGCTGTAACTCAAAAAATAGTGGAGCGATTTTGTTCATATTTGGTATGTGAATACTATAAGCATTGCACACTGTCTAAAGACATTTTGGTAGAAGGCGGCCATTTTTAAAAATGGCCACCATTTTAAAGTATTTTACTATAACTCGAAAAGTAGTGGAGTGATTTTGTTCATATTTGGTATGTGAATACTAAAAGCATGGCACACTGTCCTATGACACTTTTGGTAGAAGGCGGCCATTTTGAAAAACATTTTGAAAAATGGCCGCCATTTTAACGTATTTTACTATAACTCGAAAAGTAGTGGAGCGATTTTGTTCATATTTGGTATGTGAATACTATAAGCATGGCACAATGTCTATTTCTAATGACACTTTTGGTAGAAGGTGGCCATTTTAACATATTTTACTATAACCCGAAAAGTAGTGGAGAGATTTTGTTCATATTTGATATGTGAATACTTTAAGCATGGCACATTGTCTAATAAAACTTTTGGGAGTAGTCGGCAATTTTGAAAAATGGCCACCATTTTTATGTGTGTTATTTTACAAGTACGTGTGCAATTTTTCAAAAATTTTAGAGGTGGCTACTAAAAAGCATATTATTTCTTCTGATGACAACTTGGCTAGTGAGCAACCATTTTGAAAATGGTGGCCTTTCTGGTGTGTTGTTTTATGATATTTGCTATTCGTTTGTAAAAATGCCAGTCATTTCTGTTCGATGGGATTCGCTACGCTTTGGCGTTGCCGTTGTTCTGGTTACAAAGAGGATTTCATAATATTCTTTCATTTTATAGATGAAGGTGCATTTGTAGCTTAATCTCAAAGTGTTATATTGAATTCCTACATTCCCATTTTTATGTGACCATCACATCTCTACCTTTATTTGTGGACGGTGTTCGCCATTCGGTGGTTGGCAGTTGGATTTCGGTGGTCGAATGGCAGGTGGTGACATTTTTGGATGTTTAAAATGCCTTGTTATTAATTGCTAGACCCCACCTACTCATGTTAACAAATCCAACTTTTACGATATACAAAGCAAAAAGAAATTATTAAAAAAAAATTGATTTGACACTTTTTGTAAAAGAATAAAACTTTTACCAACCTTCTAAACTGATTATGTGTCGAATTTGATGTGAAACATTTGACTAATATCATATTAGTGTTCCAAATGGTAGTTAAAACTGGTGCCGGTATTACCGCAATTCAATACCTTACTGTTGCCGAATACCGCAGTTTTGGGTCTGCATTTGCAAATTCTTACATTTCTGTGACCGAGTTTAGATTTTGCCAAAGTTTTTGGTGATGAATTTGGTCCCTTCCATACAAACGCAATTTAGAGTCATGATTTATCAATGTCTTACCTGATTATCGATAATTCCTGCATTGAATTAAGACAGCTATTTAACGTAGTCATTCCTCAAATTGAAAAAAATGAAAAATATTTTCATTTTTTGACAAGTTCTTCCGCTCGCCAGGTGGCACCCCTAACTCTTCAAATAGGAGACAAAAACAAAATGAAAATATTTCCGATGTGAAAAGATAACTTTTCTTCGCTTTTTATCAATGTTAAACACTCAATCTAGCGATTTCTGCTAAGTTTAATTGAATCTTTAGATATTCCGGTATCCGGTATTGGAATTTCAGTGCCGACATTAGGCCAGAATGTCACCGTAATGATACTTCCGGCAATACTGCAGATCACTATATCATATGTTATTATTTGATTGTAGGTTCTGTATTCTGTATAGCCACAGACCCAGGCACTAGTACATTGGCAGTAACAGGGGGTGAGGATGACCGGGCTTATGTGTTTAAATTAGCTACAGGAGAAGTCATGTTTGAATGTACAGGTATGTTTTTAAATGTTCAGGTATGACTTTGAATGAACTTTGAAGAACTTTGTAGAGGTTTGTCTTTGAATGTTCACTTGTCTTTGAATGTGCAGTTTGTCTTTGAATGCACAGTTTGTCTTTGGATTTCCACTTGTCTTTGAATGTACAGGTTTGTCTTTGAATGTACAGGTTTGTCTTTGAATGTACAGTTTGTCTTTGAATATCCACTTGTCTTTGAATGTACAGGTTTGTCTTTGAATGTACAGGTTTGTCTTTTAATGTAACTAGTATGTTTTTGAATGTCCACTTGTCTTTGAATGTCAACTTGTCTTTGGATGTACTTGTCTTTGATGTCTTTCAATCCTTGGTATTATTACATTATAATAGTTCATCAGTAATTTTGCTTATTAATTTCGATTTTATAGTTCCTTATTATCCTATAATGTAATCATTCTTTACCATGTTTAAGGTAAATGACATAATAAATTGTAACCACAATGATAATGTTGTAACATGTTTTAGGTCACAAAGACTCAGAAAGTCACATGTTTTAGGTCACAAAGACTCAGATCCGTGATATAGCTATATTGTCACATGTTTTAGGTCACAAAGACTCAGTTCTATGATATAGCAGCTATATTGTCACAGTTTTAGGTCACAAAGACTCAGTTCCATGATATATCTATATTGTCACATGTTTTTAGTCACAAAGACTCAGTTCCATGATATATCTATATTGTCACATGTTTTAGGTCACAAAGACTCAGTTCCATGATATATCTATATTGTCACATGTTTTAGGTCACAAAGACTCAGTTCCATGATATAGCAGCTATATTGTCACATGTTTTAGGTCACAAAGACTCAGTTCCATGATATATCTATATTGTCACATGTTTTAGGTCACAAAGACTCAGTTCTATGATATAGCAGCTATATTGTCACAGTTTTAGGTCACAAAGACTCAGTTCCATGATATATCTATATTGTCACATGTTTTTAGTCACAAAGACTCAGTTCCATGATATATCTATATTGTCACATGTTTTAGGTCACAAAGACTCAGTTCCATGATATATCTATATTGTCACATGTTTTAGGTCACAAAGACTCAGTTCCATGATATAGCAGCTATATTGTCACATGTTTTAGGTCACAAAGACTCAGTTCCATGATATATCTATATTGTCACATGTTTTAGGTCACAAAGACTCAGTTCTATGATATAGCAGCTATATTGTCACATGTTTTAGGTCACAAAGACTCAGTTCCATGATATATCTATATTGTCACATGTTTTAAGTCACAAAGACTCAGTTCCATGATATATCTATATTGTCACATGTTTTAGGTCACAAAGACTCAGTTCCATGATATATCTATATTGTCACATGTTTTAGGTCACAAAGACTCGGTGACATGTGCATGTTTCTGCTATGACTCCAAGTATGTTGCTACGGGAGACATGAGTGGAATCATCAAAGTCTGGGATGTGGAATCCAAACAGGAAGTGTGGTCTTTTGAAACTTCAGATCTTGAGGTATGCTATGCAATTACTAATTTGTAGAATAAGACTAAAAGTAGCCCCAGTTTGATCTTATTTTGTTGTTTTTCAGAGTTTTATGGGTAAGCCATTCTCCTGTATGTCAATTAATATTTCATTCTTCCATTCTAAAATAGGCATAAAATATTACTATTCAAATTATTATCTAAGGTTTTGTTTTTCGTATGTTTCAGTGGTTAGAATGGCATACAGCAGCACATGTACTACTAGCTGGCTCAATAGATGGCAGCATGTGGATGTGGAAAATACCAAATGGCGACACTAAGACATTTCAAGCTCACGGTGTTCCTACAAATATTGGAAAAATATTACCAGATGGTACACATATGTTTCCTTTATAGTTATATTGTATGTTTATTGTATGTTTAACATCACCTCTCTTATGATTTTGCCCTCTTCAGCATGTTAAACATATAATTAACTTTGAATAGTCTTGTCATTATAATGTTGGCTAATAATTGTATTTAAAACATTCCGGAAATTCACTCTTTTCAGAGATCCGTTGAAAATATTAAGACAAGCATTTGTTGAAAAATATGAAGTTAAACATGCCTAAATGAACACCAGCTGTACAGGCCAAAAGTGTTTGGATTGTCAGGCTTTCACATTCCAAGGTTTTTTCACGTGGAAGTCTATGGTTGATTAGAAAAGTGACCAGTGTCCAGTGTTCACATTGAAAGGTGTTCAGATTAAAGGGATGTTCAGATATACAAGTTTTACTATAATAAAATCAATAGATTTACAAACTGCCCATACCTTTTAAATCCTGGAAATTCCTGAGAAGCTGACCAGAATCTGAATGACTTTTCTTTTACTCAAAGCTTGCACTCTGACATCCTGTATATTTATTGTTTCAGGTAAAAGGTGCTGTGTAGGTTATGAAGACGGGGCAGTAAAAACGTATGATTTAAAAACAAGCAAACTATCACATAGTTTTACTGGTAAGTTGGTTATAAATGAGTAATAATCTCAATGAGATTCTTGTGTTTTGAATCTTTGAAAAGCAGATTTTTTTTAGAAATGAAATTTTTATAGGCATATTAAGCAAAGGTTGACAATGTGAAATTCATTTTTAAGGTGTATAAGGAAATTGTTTGCTTTTATTGCAGGAAATAGTGGCCATGCAGCATCTATAACAAGTTTAGATTGTCATAGCAATAATAACCTCATCATCACTGGTTCTACAGATGTAACTGCAAAGGTCATTAGTGCAAACAATGGCAAGGTAGGTCAAATGTTTGGGGATTCCCATTGCATTCAAAGGAAACCAGAGTAACCTCATTAATATTTTTGACTAATTTCTTATTAAAATAAACGAATAAAAATGATTTGAGACAGGCATTTTAAATATTTGTGTGAATGACTTTGTTTGAATCATATTTATAGCCATTGTCACTTTCAGTCTCATTTTGACTTTAGAAATAATATGTTAACCATATATGGATATATCATATTCCATGGTTTAAAAGCTTTTTGATGGTTTAGTGAAACGCCAAAAACCCCACAATATTTGTCTCTGTGGAAAAAAAATATAGCATTTTGACATGTTATTCTATACATATCGGAATAACCGATATTTAATGTGCATTCCTCTTCTTCACAGGTACTATCAACATACAATTGTGCTAGTGAATCTGATGAGGAAGACAATTCAGTAGAAGCAGTCGGCTTTTCAAAAACGTGAGTCAAATTTTTTAACTAACCTCATGGACCATGGTTTATATAATGTTAACATTGTGTTTCCAAGTATAATAGAAGGATTTCTTCTCAATTAAACAACAAAACTATCCTCATATAGTGTAGCTTTATGTTTATTGTGTTTGATGTCCAATTCATACAAATCTAGAGGGGGGGTGTATAGAGGGTCTTGGAAATGCATATACAATATTTTTCAGCTCTCTTATACCATATACAATATTTTTTCACCATATACAATATTTTTCACAGCTCTTATACCATATACGATATTTTAGGTGAAATACAATATACAATAATTTTGAAACTGCTTTTGATTAAAGTTTGGATATTTATCAGATTTATAAGGAGATAATATTATATTAGGAGAGAATCCATGTACTAAAGTAAATGTATTATTATAAGGCAACTAGACTCCACATACATACCACAATGATTTCATTTATTTCATTATGAACTAACTATGACATTGCTGCAATTTGCTAAAGCCATTAGCCCATTACCTGTAAAAGTACCATAAAGATATTCAAAATTAGCACAAACCTGCATCATTGGAATGGGTGGAACCCAGTGCTCCTCTTTCTTATGACCTACTTTCCCATGACTTATTTAAATGTCCTTCATAGTGAGCCAGGGATAAAAATTCTTGAAACATAATTGATGCAAAATTGAGAATGTTGAAGTTTGCTGAGGAAAATATTTATCAGATAGATAATGAAGATTCACAATGCACAATAATTTTGTAAAGCAGTTACCTGGAAAATATTAAGTATTTAAAACAGTTTCAGAAATAAAGGACTTCACAAACTTCCATGTAGATAATTCATTTTTGATTGGACTCGAGTCTGGAAACTAGAGTTTGAAATAAAGGCAAGATGAGACTTGATTGTTTAAACATTTGAAACATGAGACACTTCGGGGTTTCAGATAAGGCAGCTTCAAAGACAGTATAAGTTAAACAAAGGTGTGTCAAAATTAAGCAAATTTCCATGAAGGTCAAACCACATGTTTCACAAATGATTTCAAGGCAAAGATGTACAAGTATTGATGAGAATGAAAACTACTCTATGTAACTAGAAATAACTTTCTTTTAAAGGACCACGGACGGTATCGCAACAGATTTCAGTCATATATTAGATTTTGGCTATTTTCTGAGGATTTGAACAGGTGCATATGTTAGGCCAATGCATTAACTCCAGGACAAGCAGTCATAGAGATTATAAAATAATTTGGACTTTAAGACAGGGAAGGTGCAAACACCCCATCAACATGTTTTTCTGTAATGTTGTCCTGATTTCCAGCCCTTTCCACACCTGCTTTTCAATGTTTGTTGCATCGATCACTCTGTTGCGTTTTGAGACATGGTTAAGATCTTTAAATGAAAATATGATTCATGCAGGGGTTTTAAAGATATCAATTTTGGATGACCAAAATTAAGCTGAAAACAATGGATCACATGAGTTTTCCCTATGGGAAAATAACATGGGAAATACATGTACTGTTTTCCTCTTTAAATAAATCATATTTTAGAGGTTAACTGTGTCTCAAAGTGCAACATATTGGTGCATCAAACATTGAAAAAAACATATGTGGAAAGGGCTGAAAATAAGGACAACATTTCAGAAAAACCTTCCCTGTCTCAAAGTTCAAATTATTTTATTACCTCTATGAGTGCTTGATCTGGAGTTAATGCATTGGCCTAACATATGTATGCACCTGTTCAAATCCCCAATAAATAGCCGAAATCCAACACATGACGGTTTGAAGACCAAATAAACACCTTTTGCTATATTATGCTATATTAGCATTGTGATGCTTGTATTAAAACATGCCTTGTATGAACACTTTATACTCAAATATTTTAATGATTTATCCCACATACCCCGAAACACGAGTAGCCATAATGACCATATTTTTCATCAAAGTTAAGATGGTCAATGACATTTGGCAGTCTCACGCTCGGTGATCTGATGAAATGAACGGAGGGGGAGTAGCTGATTTTTGGTAAATTCAACAAATGTTGAAGATTTATTTTTTCAAGCAAAAGTTTACAATTGAATGGCTACATGAATAGGTGCAGTGCACAGGGAAATATGTTAGGTCTTCATGGATTTTTTTTGAACTGATGGAGTTCTAAGATAAAAGGTCTATTGAAAAAGGCGCAGCGTCGCCAACGTGCAAATGCCAATGTTTTTGCTATAAATCAAGCAACAATGGTCTGCACGACATGTAATAAATATATAAGCGACATTTTTATATCACAAAATTCATTGCCGGTTTTTTAAAATAATTTTCCAAATGATAGATAAAAAATAATCGAAAATAATTAAAATTGAACGGAGGAGGGGGGGGGAGTGAACGGAGGGGGGGGAGTAAAATGTCTTTAAGGTGGAAGAAATTTCCACAAATTCGTGTACTTGAAAAATGAACTCACTTACTCAGTAACTTGATGTTACAACTCTGAAAAGTGAAAAATGGGGACACATGGATTTATTGGAAGTTTTCATATGTCTTATAGACAAATTACCCCCCCCCCCCTCCATTCAATTTTAATAATTTTCGATTACTTTTTATATAACGTATGGTAACATGTTTTACAAAACCCAATAGTTTTGTGATAATTACTTCACTTACAAGTATTTATTACAGGTCGTGGAGACCCCTGTTGGTTGATTTATAGCAAAAACATTGGCATTTGCATGTTGGCGACGCTGCACTTTTTTAATAGATCTTTTATTTTAGAACTCCAAATCCAAAAAGACTTAACATATTCCCCCGTCCACTGCGTCTATTCATTTAGCCATTCAATTGTAAACTTTCTCTTGAAAAAATAAATCTTCAAGATTTGTTGAATTTTCTATCGAAAATCAGCTAGATCTACTCCCCACTCCGTTCATTTCTTCTGATCACCGGGCGTGATTCTTATTTGAGACTGTATTTAACACCTCTTGTGAAAATTTGAATGAAAAGGGCACAAAACTCTTAGTTTGAGAGGGATTTTCTCTAAACTAACAGTATCGATTGACCTGGAATTTGAAAACAATTATAGAGACTACTTTTCCATGTTTTTCCAACACGGTTACAGTAAGAGAGTTGGCACAATGGGGGAACTTTAGGGTACAATTTCTTCATAATTAGCCTTCTTTAATTCTAGATACCATATACCATATTTTCTAAAATACCATATACCATATTTTTTACACCTCTTATACCATATACGATAAATTTTGCCCCCTCTTATACAATATACAATAAATTTTCAGCCTCTTATACGATATACAATATCTCTATACACCCCCCCCCCTCTAGAGGATACATGTTGCCAGTTCGGTTTAGCCTTAAGTTATACATACAGTTATACTCTACATATTGAGAGAACATGAATTGTAATGTATTGTACCAGTAATCACTTTTAAAAGGATTTTTGGAACTCTGCAAACCTATGTTAACCGTCTAACCTAAATATTGTAATTCATACTTCACAGTTTTAAGTAACAGAATATGTTTTACAACTGTCATCATGGATAACAATATGAATTTTGTGCAAAGTATGTGAGACTACCTCATATAGTTGTTTTATCTTACAGACATTCTTTAGCTGCAACTGGAACTTTAAAAGGGACTCTAAGTATATGGGACATCAACACACACCAATGTAGGCTACAGTGTAAACATGAAGTAAGTTTATATACACAACTATTATAGGTGACAGTGTAAATATGAGTATAATACACACCGATTTAAGCTAGCATGTAAACATGAAGTAAGTTAATACACACATAGACTACTATGTAAATATAAGTTTAATACACCCCAGTGTAGGTTATAGTGTAAACATGAAGTAAGTTTATATACACAACTATTATAGGTGACAGTGTAAATATGAGTATAATACACACCGATTTAAGCTACCACAATAATACACACATAGACTACTATGTAAATATAAGTTTAATACACACCAATGTTGGCTACAGTGTAAACATGAAGTAAGTTTATACACATATTATAGGCTACAATGTAAATATAAGTATAATACACAACACTGTAGGCTACAGTGTAAACATGAAGTGGGTTTAAAACACCAATTGGCTACAGTGTAAACATAAAATAAGTTTAATACACCAATTGGCTACAATGTAAATATGAGTGTAAGACACAATCTAGGCTACAGTGTAAACATGAAAAGTAAGTTTATTACACCAGTTGGCTACTGGATGAAATAAGTTTAATACACCAATTGGCTACAATGTAAATATGAGTGTAAGACACAATCTAGGCTACAGTGTAAACATGAAAAGTAAGTTTATTACACCAGTTGGCTACTGGATGAAATAAGTTTAATACACCAATTGGCTATAATGTAAACATGAGTATAGTACACAATCTAGGCTACAGTGTAAATATGAAGTTTATTGTTTAATTACACACAAATAGTATAGGCTACATTGTAAATATGAGTATAATATACAATGTAGGCTACAGTGTATAAGTAAATTTAACAAATATATGTAACAGCTTTGTAAGCTTGAGTAATACACAATGTAGGCTATATCTTTAACATGAAGCATACATAATACACAAAAATTGTGGTCTTTATACAGAATGAAGTTTACTTTACAACCTTTCATCAAAATACATGTACCAGTATAGAGTTAAAATGAAGATTGTTTTATGTAAAATAAAGATTGATTTTCAATACTTTTTTACCTTATTACAAATGTTGTTCAGATATATCAGAGTTCAACAAACAAAAGTTAAAAAAATATTCTAAATGCCTGACTTGTTTGTTTTTAGAATGGAATAGTGAGATTACGTTGGGATGAGAGCACACCATTTATCTACACATGTACACTTGATGGCATCGTTCACATGTGGGATGGCAGAAATGGGCAGAGAATGGCACAGTGGTATGGTCATCAAGGAGAGATTCTAGACTTTGATATTACTAGGTATGTTTCAATTCAATTCATTGACATCAAAGCAACTGTATTTATGAACCAAGCTTTTGTCTTGTGCACCTGCCACACTATCCCACCCCAGTATTGGTAGTACAGTTACAGTACATGTATAAAGGTTGATTAAAAAATAGAGAGGGCTAGAAATCTATACCACTCGTATAAAATTGTTCCTAAAAAATAATTCAGCTTGGTAATATTCTTAAGAACAATTTCTGATTTCTTGAAAGATGTAGTTCATGTCAGTGCTTGTGCTAATAACCAATTTGTAGCTACTCAGGTTGGCTTGAATAGATTAACAATCATATCAAAATATACTGATAATATCATGCCAAAATACATCAACTTTACACCTTATAGCTTTTCAGCTTTTGCTTAAATATACTGATAGTCATACCAATATACATGTAGCTTCTCTACTTAGTTTTTGCCTGAATATATTGACAAAAACATACCTGATTGTTAATCGTAGGATGTAGCACTATGTGAGCCTGTTCCAAAGTTCCTTGCATAAGATGCTCTATGTAGATAGGAAAATGTTTTTCTGTAATCTTTAGCTTCCAAGCCTCAATGTCAAACAGTTCAATGTTGGGATCCAGTTGCTGGATCATGTGGTGCCAGCAAGAGTTGATGTCATATTTGACAATTCGCAAATACTGGTCAGTCTTTGCACACCAAATATACATTTTGTGATCGGTCATTGTATTTAAGGAAAGATCCATTATCAACTTGGTAACTTTCTTAATTTTCTTTATTCTTAAAATAAACAGTAGAATTTGTAATATTAATGGCATGCATCCTAACAGAATTATCAGAACCACTGTCGCTATATAATTGATATTGCATTCCTTTCTTGTGTAAGTTCTATGATTGCTTTTGCTGCACAGTGTCATATTAGGATTAGGATCCTGATTGGCAGAAAGTGCAATGATGCTGGGTATGGCAATCATCATAGAGAAAAGAAACCATATTATCAAAATGAAAGTTGATAATATATGACATATTTTCCATTTAAGGGTGGACCTTGAAAGTTTGATGCTTGCTTCTTCAAGAGTCAGTTTTTCTAAGATTTTTTCGATTTCCTCCTTGGGTGCTGTGATTCCCTTTTGTTCCAAAGCATCTGTGCCATTGGGTGGAAGTTCAAACTGTAGCTTTTTTTTACAGCATCTTTCCTGAATAATTTTCTCCCTAACGGGGAAGGAGGATCCATTGATACGCAAAACAATGTTCATTGGGATGAAGCCTTGGCCAGGTTTCTCAACATTCTTCTGTAGCTTTAATGCAGCTTGTTGAAAATCTTTATGTGTTACGTCAATGTAGTTGATGTGCTTTATGGTGTCTGGTACGGGGCATTCCTGTAGCATAATCGGTAGCAAGCTGATGTTATTAGCAACTGATGCAGTTTGCGCCATCTGCATTTCCCACTCACACCAACGACTATCAGTGAATGCAGGCGTCAACACAAAAACAGTTCTCATGCTACCTGTGATACACCGAAACATCTCATTCATGTCATTCTGACCTGGCAAGAAATCACGCTCGCTGAATGCACATTTAAGGTTATAGGGTGCAGCCTCGAGAATCTTTACGACATCCCAGACCCAGGCTAGGTCATGAGAGGAGTGACAGAAGAACAGATGATACTCCTTTCCTTCTCCTAGTTCAATGTCCATGATATCGCCAGCCAAAGCCAGAGCTTCATCATCATCCACATCATTATGGTTAGCATTCATCGCATCAACAACACACACCTCTAATCCATAAGCTCCATTGTCTTGTTCACCTGTTTTAGGCATGTCAATCCCTTCATTGTCTTCATGGATATGTTCAATCAAAATCATTTCCTCTTCACATACCACTGCCATGTCGCTTTAACTGTATTTTTAATCTTTGAATCAAGGTCAGTCCTACCACTGAAAATATGTCTCTTTGTTTTTTACTTTTTCTATTTTCTCTTTCTTAGAAATGCTTCTTTTTCAAAGGTGCTTCCTGCAGTCTACAAGTAAATTCCTTGGAGTGCTTAACCTTTGCTGTGATTTCTCTATTATAGTTTTTAGCATAACAGAATCCAATAGTGGGATTCCCAACTTGAATCTACGTCTGCTATGAATCATCATGTCATTGTGACCTTTGTTGTTCATTTTCAATTGGAACTTGGAGATTGAGTTTTTTTAATGCATTCAGTCATTTAAAAATGTATGAAACCAATACTATTCAAAACAGAAACCAGTAGTGAAACCCTCTTGTTCAATTCTTTCTGAACTTTGGACCAAAAAGTTGGTTGTTTTCTGACATAGCAGAATCCAATAGTGGGATTCACAACATGAATTTGCATCTTTTATGGATCACTATCTATGTCGTTGTGGCCTTTTCACTTGTGAAACCAGTGGAATTAACAGTATCAGTACTGATACTATTAATGATTGAATAATTAACCTGGATAGAAATCAATAGATTTTTTGCCAGACTTTTATGTGGCAAACCTTAGATACACTGAATGAATTTATAAACAAGACTAAAGAAGTACAATATTCACATGTAGTAAAAACCGGAATGTTATAAAAACCCTTCGACCTGCACCTTCGATCTTCACCTTCGACCGACAGGATGTCCAAAAAGAAAATATTATAGAAGCTATTTTTGACGATCTTAGACCACGAAAGAGTCATATTTAAACTATATAATATTTCCATTCAAGGATTTCCATATAACCTACTGCCCTGTCACGCATTTGCTGGAAAAATAGAAATCACGCATCAATTTAGCGTGTATGATCAAATATCACGCAAATCACGCATATTGTTGATATTTTTAAAAATCGTTTTTTTGTGAAATGCCGACACGGTAAAAAACTGAACGGGGAAGATAATCGAACGCATTCCGTTCGGTCTTTGCACGCGATTGCCGTTTATGTCACACATTTGGTACAAAATATGTGTATATATCACGCATTTGTTTAAAAATGAGTCCCATTTTTATGAAAAATCCCTAGAACTGGGTCTACTCTGAAAAATCCTAAAACTGTATGGGTACTGTTTTTGAAAAAATCACCGGAAGTGGGTCTTGTTTTTTAAAAATTAATTGGGTAGGTATTTTGAGTCACCCCCCTGGAAAACATTTGACCAGTACCCCCCCCCCCCCCCGGCCAAGGAGGAGCTTTTTGACAATGTTGGCTAAAAAAATGACCATGATGATAGGGGAAGAAATTAAAGAGCCTTGCAATGCTTTTTATTTGAAGCTTATAGCTCAATTTTGAAGGAAGTTACATACATTTTTGTAAATTCAAAACAAATCTTACACGTTTTTTAATGATCTAATTATGTTATATATTCGTATTTTTCGTTTTTTGGGTACCAAGTTTGAACCCAGCATGGAGGATTTACTACCCGGTACCTGGTACCTGGTTTTTTCTACAAACCCCAAATTATATCTGTATTTCAGTTATGGACAGTACATGCATGCGTTTAATAATTTAAACAAATCAAATTACTGGATTTAATACGCATGCGCAAAAAACAGAACCAAAAATAGACTGGCGCAGATCCCCCCCCCCATTGCCATTGTGCAATTCTTTATACTCTTCAACGGAGGAGGCCAAGAAACGATCAATGGAAATCATTTGCTTGAATTCAAGAACTGTTTTCATTTATCCTGGGACACATCGTTTACTAACTGCATGCATAACTGAGTACAGTAAAACGTCAATAAGTCAAAGGTGCATGTCGAAGGGTTTTTATAACTTTCTTTTTGGCCCGCTTTTTGAACACCCTGTAAGTCGAAGGTGAAGGTCGAAGGTGCAGGTCGAAGGTCGAAGGGTTTTTATAACATTCCGTAAAAACCTGAAAAGTGGAACACCTCTGGAACCAAATCAACTCTATATGTGAAATGCTTTTTCAAGTGCTTGTGAAATGCTTTTTCAAGTGCTTGTGAAATGCTTTTTCAAGTGCTTTTGAAATGCTTTTTCAAATGCTTTTTCAAGTGCTTTTGAAATGCTTTTTCAAGTGCTGCTAATTGCTACCCATAAACTTAATTTTAAATAAACCTCAGTAAGGCACCGAATGTGTTCTACTTAGGTTTTACTGTGTTTGAACCAACCATTTCACTATTGACCTAACATAGGTTTTTGTAAAGTAATTCAAATTGCCTTAATGTTTTTGCAGGGATGGTAACACCTTAGTGACAGCATCAGATGATGGGACAGCTAGAGTTTTCACACTACATAGTCCAGATAGGTGAACTAATGTATCAAGGAGTGAATTCATGAGGCACATTGCTAGAATATGGCTTAAAAACCAACAATTTTACGAAGCATACCTGTATTCATCATTTATTATGAGTATTATGTTGTGTGGGGGTGACTGCACATTAGCCAGACTGTGATCCTTGGTTATTGTGAATGGAATTAACTTCTACAGAAAAACCAGTGGGTGAATATAGTATTGGAACAATGAATAGAAAACAACAGCCAGACCTTCACTGGTGATCCACTAGATTAAGCCGGTTACTGGTTAAAAGTACAGATCTTACCTGTTTTTTGAAGTTCCGTTTATGGAATAAGTGAGGAATCAAATCAACGATTCTGTTCTTCTGAACTATTTGCGGAAAAATGTTGCGGGAATTCTGCCTGCAACGCGTGAAATAAGGAAAAAAGAAAAAACGTACCTTCGATGTCCCAACATTTTGTTACCGAAGCGAACCGTTTCGGTAACCAGCGTAATCGAGCGGATCACCAGTGACTTTGGAGTTATATGAAATATTGTACTAAGAAGGAGCAGTGAATTAACATGTACATGTACTGTATGTGATAGAATCAATGCTTCTTTTGAATACTATTATTCTATGTGCTACAAAGCAATGGTATGGAGATATATAATGGACATCATCTTAAATATGGACATGTCATACTAGATAGAGAGAGTTTATCCACCCCCCTCCCACTTTGCCATTCATGTAAACATTGGACATTTGCAGTGATTTAACACAGAAAGCTCCAATTAATATTTCTGATTCCCAAAGTGTACATTGAAGTGGAAGGGGAGTCTCTTCATTGGAGTGTGTTATAAGGTTCCAGAAAACTAACACATGTGAAATACAGGGTTCTGAGTGTCATGCTGATTAGGGGTCAGTTGTATACTAATTCAGATATCCCAAGAGTGTCTCAGCCAATCAGCTTAGAGTATTTGGGTGCATTAATTCAAGGTATATCGGGTCAGCAAAGCAGAAACATTATTTTACTGTGTATTACAAAATGGATATTTTACAGAGATGTTTAAAATATAAAATATAAAAATTGTTTATGCTCCACCATACTGCCACTTAAGTGCATTTAATGGAGGGAATTCAACAAATCCATCATGATTTCAAATTATCAAAGCCACTCCATCAATTATGTTAAGTATACCATAAGTCTGTTTTCAATAATGTAAATAGTTTATGTTTGCCCTTACTCAGCACTGAAGCTTGCACTGAAGCTTGCCAACATGCTTCTCTTATACGTCATTTGTGTAAATCATGTGAAGATTTCTTAGAATAAATTCAAATGACCCTTTAAATTGTGTTTTACTTAATATTATGTTGAATACATGTTCTTAGGCTCTGAAATTAGAAGGAAATGATGCTGTTTTTCTTTTTTCAATTCTTTTCAATATTCAATTCAGTTTACAATATTGAATACAATCTTAAATACCGGTAAGTGATCTTTAAATTGTTTTATTGCCACTTCACTTCACTGAATTGGGCATTTATTCTTTTATGCAAACGTTTGTGCACTAAATTGTTCTTGTAATTTCCAAGAGTAATTATGTAACAAATCAACAATGCAATATAGTAACACATATATGTAACGAATATGTCACACTCCAATCGATGCAAGCTGCTATAACTTAATTCCCCATTGATAAGAATATATAAGATTTATGTAGTGAAAATAAGAAATAAAATATCAGTTTGTATCTAAAATTATAGATCAGTCAAATAACATGATTTGACCAATCATAACAAAGAATTCTGGTTTGATTTGTGACTAGTTACGATACATTTTTGTCAAATGTATTATTAGAATATTTATTAATTTTTTGGGCATGGAATTTTCCACTCTATGTTTTTTCTTTGAACTTAATATTTGTACATTTCATTGAATTGTAAAAAATAAAGCTATTATTTAATAAATAAACTAATCTAAGTTTGTATTTTTGTAAAGAATATTGGAGCTAGAATTTCAGAGCAAATTAATTATGATTAAGGGCAAATGATTATTGGTATCGATATGGCGAACTGAATTCAACATTGTTTTTCTCTTAAATCAATTATTGAAAACATTCTGTAAAGAAATACAGCCCTTTATGTAATAGTCACTGGTTGACAGCAGTTTAATGCAAAAATTATTTACATATTTTTTTGTTAACATTTTTCTTTTTTAGTGCAAATGTTTTTTGTTCCTTTCTGCCAATTCTTGAGAATGAAATAAAACATCTTTCCGAACCTTGTTTGAACAAAATAGCATATACCACATTTTCTTAGACCTCTCAATATTATAGTTATATAAAGGAAAATTTGCTTCATTTAACAAAAAGTATTCAAAAAATTAACACAAAAACCCTTATAATAGATAAAAATTAATAAAGAAAACCCTTTATTTCATCAACAAGATGCTTTTTTGAATGAACCAAACTTTCATTTGTACAGTATTGAGAGAACTAAAAGTATGTCATTTTGTTCCAATGAGGTTCGGATAAATTATGATACCAAGAACAAAACAAGTGTCTGATGTGTTTTCTAAAACAATATAGAGAAAAGTTTGTATATTTTTTTAAAATTGAATTGTTACCATTCAAAAGATGATCATTAAAATTAGTGCAGTCAATAGAAACTACAGAGTGCTTTACATTGTGTCCAGCTTCCATCCTTAGTATTGTATTGTATTTTGTTTACCACAATGAAGGTGAGCAATACCTCTTAGGTATGTCCCGTATATATACAGTCGTAATTTACGTAATTAACATGGAAGATAGACCCAGAAACCCCTCCTTGAAGGAGCCCTGTGTTCTTTTATGTGCACTTATACATAGACATATAAGTACACACCACAGCCTTTTGTACGAGTTGCGGACCACTCAGTCAAACACCCTGAAGTACTTCATGCAAACAAGCAAATTTTTTAGTCTTGCCTGAACCGTGGATCGAATCCGGGACCTATTGCGTAAGAGGTACCTGCGCTACGGGAGCTACACGGGTCATAATTGGCAACAGTAACATGATGTACATCATCTCTCAATACTCATACTCATGACCAATCAAGTAAATTATGGTCTTCGTAATATATAGATGTCTCCCTTACAGTTTTTGTAACAAAAACAGGATTCCCTTGTATTGATAATTTTCTTCATTGAACTTCATTGAATTTTGTGACAATAATTGGCCTACTACCTGCAAAGTCTAAATCCACCCATATGCCCTTGTTTCAAAATTGGTCAGGATTTATTGGAACGTCTATTATGAAGAGGCAAAAGTTGTTGATGAAAATGGATTTAAATTATTATTGTGTATTATTTGAGGCATTTCAAAATATCTCTAGAACTGTTTACTGTTTTCTCTCTCAAGACCTGCAACATGAGCACATGTGTGACTTTTATGATGAATATACTATTTGGAAAATTGAATTTGTACCTCGTCAAAAATATTTTTCTCTCAGTGAAATATTTATGTGTGTGGACTTAAAAATTCCACAATATTTCATATGGACCACCACTTTTTTGGCCACCATTAACCACTAAAAAGTGTATGGAATGCTAGAAAATCTGCAAGGAACCCTGGGACAGCCAAGTCTCCTTGGGATCCGAATGACAAATTGTGGCTTGAGGTCATGAAAGGAATTTCCAGATTGGAAACTACCATGTTTTCCAGTATCATCATTAAACCAAGGACGCCTATCTCATGGGCATATGTCTCATATCATCATGGGCTCTCATGAACATACACTAAAAAGGATGTAAACAGCTTTCTGTGTCTTTATGTGCAATTTGTACTTGTGTCATATCCAGACAGTGTGTTAGATGTGTTAAGGTTCAGCTGGAAAGTAACATTTTGGTAAAAAATTGCTATACCTGCACATGTTATTTTCTGGTACAAAATTAAGTATGAAGGCATGTGTTTATTTCCTTGCTTTTTTCAGGAAAGTATCATTACACTGTCTACTTTTAGTAAACCTGGAAACAGGTCAATGGTAGCTCCTGTGCTGTCTGAAAACTTTGAAAGAAAATTTGAAAAAATAGAAAGTGTGAAATATCAGAATTTCCTGGAGTTCCCATCAAACTCCTACTAGATATTCTTAAAGAAGACAATGTAATGATACTTTCCTGAAAAAAGCAAGGCAATTGACAAATGTCTTCATACTTTATTTTGTACCAGAAAATAACATGTGCTGGTATAGCAATTTTTTACCAAAATGTTACTTTCCAGCTGTACCTTAATGTATTGTGACGGAACGTGGCGTCTGGGCCGAGCGGAAACCCGTGTGTCACTTTAAAACTCTCACGTGGTATGAGAGCCGGCGGGGAACGTCTGTTGGTGAAAGGATTTTGTTGTGTTGATTTTAATTATCGTTCTGCCACTGATATTATACAAGTAGAATAACAAAGAATGACAAGGGAAATATAATAACTTTGATAAATGTAAAAATGATCAATTTAAATTGGAGGAATATGTGAATGAAGAATGATGATAATGAATGGTTTGGCCAATATTTAAATTCTACAACATAGCTCCGTGAAACAATTAGAGCACACTTTGATGGCTAGAAGAGCAAAATGTAATGAATACTGAGTACGGTAGGCTCCTAGCGACTTGAGCTCCAGAGCAAAATGCTATATTCAGAATAATGGCTCCACAAAGCTCAATGCACAAAATGAGCAAGCAGCAGGCTCCGGAGCAAAATGTAGTGCTCTTTATTTAAGGAGCCAGAAACAGGCTCTGGAGCAAAGTGCAATATTAAAACAAATGGCTTGGCAAGGCTCCGGAGCAAAATGTAGTGCTCAAATAAATGCCTCCGTCAGGCTCCAAATACAATTAGAGTCAATAACAAGCTCCGGAGCAAAATGTAATGCTCTCAATGAGTCAATAAATCAATGAGCCTTAAAGCAAAGCAGGCTCCAGATCAAAATGCAAGGCTCCAAATTAATAGTCAATCAAGCAGGAGCTCTCAATGGGCTCCGGAGCAAAGCACAATGCTCCAAATCAATAGTTTAACAGCAAAACAGGAGCTTTGAGAGCAATTAAGAGCAATTAAGTACCTATTGCATATGAATTACTACTACCTTGGTTATACCAATTAAGTCACATAGCAATAGTCTTACACTACCTTGCCTCTTTGAAATAAATTCTTTACTCCACACAAGAGAAATTGGCTCCGGAGCAAAACGTAAGGAGCAGTTTTGGTAGGAGCAATTTGTTACAGATATGGCCAATCTTTAGACAAAGAAATATGAATGTTGTAAATTGTAGCAAAAATGAATGTAATGAGATTGGAATAATTGACAGTAGCACTGGGAATTAAGGATAAAAATAATGAATATGCGAAACGTTTAGATTGATAGAAATACT